AAAATCTCTCCCTTCTCATTTCTCAAAGCACCCCCCATTCCGGATAATCCTGGATTACCCATGCTACTTCCATCAAAGTTCAACTTCAATGAGCCTTCRRATGGAGGAGACCARCTTGTMATTSATTTGTCCTTTAGGGATGAACACCTCGCTACTGCTGACCAATTTCTCCAAAGGTCATTAAAGGAGAATTGATAAAAGATTTCCAAGGTCTTCAGCCAAGGTATTGTCCTATTCAGTACACAGTCTTTCAACTCCTGACTGCTCCTTTCCTTTTCTTGAAAAATTCTAGCATTCCTTTCTTCCCAAAGAGTCCAAATCAAGGCAGCACGAGCACATCCCCACATAATTCTCCCTATTTTTGTAGGCCAATAAAAGGTAGAATGGTTGAAGAGCATGTGAACTTCTGCCGGTAGACTCCAACTACTCCCAAACAACGAAAGTAGCCAAGCCCAAAGGTCTGCAAAAAAAGGGACAAGATATTAATAGGTGGTAACAATCCTCACTGTGAGCTCTACGGAGGATACACCAATTAGGAGAAATACAAAGAAAAGGTCTTCTCTTTTGTAGGTTATCTAGAGTGTTTACTTTCCTATGGAATACTTTCCAACAAAACACCATAATTTTTGGGGGAACTGACCTGCACCAAATTTCTTTTGACGGAAAGGATTGGTGAGTAGAAAGTTGAGAGATGGGCCTGAAGAAAGAAGCACAAGTGAAGGTTCCATTGGGTCTAGGAGTCCATACCCTCTTATCTGGCTTGGAGGGATCCAAACAAACCTGATTAAGACAACCAAGCAAGACAGAAAGATATTCAATTTCATCATCCCTAAGTCCTCTACGAAACCCAAAATCCCAAGTAAGATCTAAGAGTGTTCCCAAAGGTGAGACAAATTTTGGGACCACCTCTTCTTTGAACAAAGAAACAGAAAATAGTAAAGGGAACAGATCCTTTAAAGGTGTGTCTCCTACCCAAATATCCTCCCAAAAATGAACAACGTTGCCAGAACAAACTTCATACCTGATAAAATTGAGGAATTGAGGAAGGGTGTTGTGAATGGCCTTCCAAGGTGYTGCTAGGTTARCYTKCCTTGATACACCAGCATCCCATCCATTCTCTAACCTCCCATGAATGCTTCCCACCACCTCATGCCACAATCTCTCTCTTTCCAATGGACATTGCCACAACCATTTCCCCAACAGAGCTTGATTTTTTCCAGTTACCCTCCCAAGTCCCAACCCCCCCTCTTCTTTACTTTTGCACACAATTTCCCAATAAACCAAGTGATCTTTTTTTTTTCTCCCGACTCCCATAAGAAATCTCTCATCAACTTCTCCAGTTTCCTAGCTTCCCTAATTGGTATCCCAAGTACAGACAAAAAATAGGTAGGTAAGTTAGCCAAGGTAGCTCTTATTAGGGTAATTCTCCCTCCTAAAGAGACAATTCCTCTTCCATGAGGCTAATCTCTTCTC